AGTTTTTTTTTTTTTTTTTTTGTGTGTGTATGGTAGTTTCTAATGAGATATCATTTGTGTTATAGGAACGAGGGCCCCTAAAGTGTCATAATCACTCTTCCAAGATCCTTGCATGGCCATGGTGGTCAGTAGAGAACAACACCAGATTCAAAGCCATTATTGAGCAATCTGGGCTGTCACAGTTAGCTCGTTGCACTTATCGGTTCGTCAACAAGCTTCTAATCTCCAGCTTTGTTGAGATATGGCAACCTGAGACGAACACATTTCACATGACAGTTGGTGAGATGACCTTGACCCTGGATGATGTTGGCACTATTCTTGGCCTTCCATTTTGGCAAATAAGTCAGCGTACCAGATGTGACAGATCATCATGGAGTTACATTACTCGTTTATGGCTTGGGGATTATTGAACGTGCAGCACATGAAGAGGTTCTTCTGCTGGTGGCAATTCAGTCAGGCTTGAGTGGTTGCGAAGTCATTTTGCTAGTGTCACAGATTCAGACCCCAAGGAGGCTATACAGTGCGCTGCTAGAGCTTATTTGTTGTTTCTGTTGGGATGTACACTCTTCAGTGCCAAGAGTGGCGGCAGGGTTCCTGTTGTTTACCTTGGCTTATTGATGGATTTGGGATCCATTCATACTTACGCCTAGGGTGCTGCTGCATTAGCATTTTTATACAGACAGTTGGGGTATGCTAGCTGGTCTGGGGTTAAGCAGATGGGTGGTTATATGACTCTTTTGGAGGCGTGAATTTATGAGCACTTCGAGCATTCCGACCTCACCAGAACATGGGCTACAATGAAGACATGCCACACGTGTACCATTGGGCATCTAGGAGAGAGGCGGGTTCCTTATTGATCATTTGAAATCTTTTCGAGCCAAGCTTGACAGTTTGGTAGCTACTGATGTAGTTTATTCATCCTGAGATAATTTTATCACTTTCCATTTATCTTACCTTTATATACTTTAATTCAAAACACTTTACGTTTACAGGTTATTTGGGATCCATAACCACAGCTGCAAAGACCGGCATCCATGTAACCCGGTTACGTTCTACCATGGATGCTTAAAGTGCTTAGACATTGTCGACCCTATCATCCAGATAGAGTTCTGAGGTAGTTTGGCAGGGTTTCAAATCATCCCAGATGCACCACTAGCTCCCAGACGTGGTGCGCGAGGCAACATATCCGCACGATATACAGTCATGTAATGATACTTGGATAGGCTGGAGGCTTGGGATACCACGTGTTATCTAGGCAACGGAGGAGCACACCAGTTCGTCACCTTGGGAATGTGTACGGGTTACATGGATTGGGAATAAGAATATCACGCACCTATATGTTGAACACACTAATGAACCGCGTGTCCAGACTATCAGGATTTCAGCGAAATGCGGATGTAATCTATTATCCTCTCTTATGCATATGTAACTTACTTTTTATTTTCTGATATGTTCCCTAAAATGTGATTTTCTTTTCAAATGCAGCGTATTGCACATGCACTGCAGATTTCACATCCTATTATTGACGCTGGTTATGAGGAGGGGATTCGACATCCTTATCGACTTTACCAGGCTATCGAGAGTATGACGCATGTCCTTGAAGGTCAGCACATTGACGAAACTGGACCTAGTTCTGCTGGACCTACTTATACTGGAGGTCGCTTTCCATCTTTGACATTGACATACAGTCATAGGCCTAGACATAGGCATACAGCTGATTCGTGACATGTTATTTGTTAGTTGATGAATTTTTTTTTGGTGATTTTTGTAAGATGATATTGTTGTAATGGTAACAGTGGTTAACATTTTCTTATTACAATGGAATGGCAACAATGGTATTGTAATGACATTGTAATGACATTTTATTTTAGAATGGAATGCTACACAATGGTCGTTGATTTTGTAAATGATAATTTTCTTATTACAAGCAAGATACATCCTGGGTCTTTTTTTTCCCTCCACCATAGTGTGATGTTTTGATTACAATGACCAAACCATTTCTCTTTCCAACTTCACGTACCCAGTTGAGCAATTCATCATTACTTTTGAATGCCTACAAAGTTAAATAAATATTATCAAAACATTTATATTTGATGAGCAATTCGAAACATAATCGTTATAATTTCGTAGAGTGAACCTGTTCAGTTATGAATTGAGTGGTGTAATCTAACACAAATCCGCCCGTTGACACATATTCCTGCATGTTTTGTATAACATTACAAATTTTTAATGGCATTATAAAGATTAATTTGCAATTTGAAAATTGAAACTGTAAATTTGGTATGCAGTTTGCAAATTTGGAATATATAAATGGGGAAAAAAATTACTTCATTCGAAGTAGTTGTCCGAATTTTATTTTCAAATTTCAGAAGTTGAATGTTGTAAAAGTTAACTTTGTTCGGACAACAACTTCCGAATTTAAATACCTTGTTCGGACAACAACTTCCGAAATTTATTTACTTTGTTCGGACAACAACTTCTGAAAATAAATAATTATTTCGGTACTAGATTTCAAACCAAATAACAAAATTCGACTGCTGACTCATATACAAATGAATTTCACTTTTACTGAGAATGTTTACCTTCCCGTACCAAATAGCTGCAGCCACATGACTATTGAAACTTCGCAATATTGATGGATCAGTTGGTCCACCTGGAAAAGCATGAGTAAGGTACTCTTCCTGGACAGTAGGAGAATCGGGTAAAGAGGCATCCTCCACAGCAATGTCAGGCATATCATCACTTTCAACTCGTCTTTGGCTTCGGCTTCTACTTTGACTGGCACTGGGGATATCATTCTACCGAAACTGGATCACGACCTCGACCACGACCTCGACCTCAACCTCGTCCTCGCCCACGCCCTTGTCCCCGTTCATGGTTAACATCCAATTCACGACGTCGTCTATTTGAAGCAGTAAGTGGGACACGTTGTTGATATTCAAAATCCATTATTCTCTGCAAAAATTAATATACCCAAACAAAATAAAATTAAGAAAAAAATAATCGATCCTAGTGCATTACTAATGCTCTTATTCCCTAATTCTATCCCCAAACAAAGCTATACCATTTTCAATTCCATGTTAGTACCCATTGAAGCTCAATATGAGATTACCGCAAATGTAAAAATAATACACAAAAGAAGGGAGAGAGAGAGAAAAAAAAAAAAAACCCACTGTTCGGAAGTTGAAAACCAAAAGTATATATACTATTCGGAAGTTGAAATTTGAAACAAAAAAATTAATTTCGGAAGTTGATTGTTGTTTGAATTTAATGTATTCGGAAGTTGACTGCCGAAATAATCAAAAAGTTTCGGATACCTACTTCCGAACAAATTTCTTAATTTCGGAAACCCAATTCCGAACGGTTGTTTACAATCCGTGGGCCTTCGTTCGTTTTCAAAATGAAAAAAACAAAACTCTACGTTGCAAATTAAATAGGAATGATGATTCAAAAGTAAACTCACCTAATGAGGATTGAAAATGTGATGGAATGCTTCAATGGGATGCAAGCTTCGTGGATGAAATGCTTCAATGTATTTGCACACTTGGGTTGCACACGGTAAGCTTCTATGTGATGGAATGCTTCAATGTATTTGCACACGGTAAGCTTCAATGGGTGTGTATATCCTCAAGGTTGAAGATGTAGCTCAGCTTCAATGGGTGTGTGTATTTGCACCGTTGGGAGAGCTGGGTTTGGGTCGGGTGAGTGTGGTTGTGTGTGTATGAGGGTAGATGTGGAATGAACCGTGTGTGTAGTGAGTAAACTAATTAGGAATAATTTTTTTGGTGTGTGTAATGAGAAGGATGTGCAAAGAGAGTATTTGGTGTGTGTAAATAGATGCTCCCGATAACTTCCACCTTATTGCAAATTTTTATTCTTTTTTATTCCCACTATTTTGCATTTATTTCTTCTACTTTCAATTTTTCAATAATTCTCCCAAAAACATTATATGCTTGTTTATAATGTAAATTGTGTTTGAAATTTTGATTTCTTTCGAGTTGTTATATATATGATTGTTTCCTGATATATATATATATATATATTTTGCAGAAGATCAATCGGAGAGTGGAGTTCTATGATTTTCCCCAAGTAAATACCGAGTCAAATGTAAGTCAACTAAGGGAGGAGAATGCTAATAGAAGCGATGAGAATGAGGAAGCGGAAGTGGAAACAGCAGCAGCACGAACCAACCATAGCCATTATTACCAAAGAGCAGCAGAGCAAAGTGGTTGTTGGCAATTTCATAGATTTTTTCTCAGTTGGCAGCTCTTCTTGGCATTGGTCTTGACACTCCTCTACAAATTTTAAATGATTTTTTTCATTACACAAATATTAATCACTAATTATCTTCCAATTATATTTGCTTGTCTCCATTTTTTAAAAAAAAAAAAAATTAATTGATTGTCCCCTCTATATTAATGTATATCCAAGCTTTGTTGACCAATGCATAGTCAAATATGTTTTTAATTATAATTTGATTTTACTTGAAGGGCCTTGAATACAATAGAGGTATGTACATGATGAGTAGTTCAATCCAAAGCTAAAAATTAAACACTTTAAAACTAATCAATTTTATTTATTTATTTTTTTCTTTCACATAAACAACGAAGCAAATAAGCAATTGATAGTGTTCTTTGCCTTATTTACAATTATTGTGCCTATATAAGTTGTAAGACTATTTCAATAGTGTTCACCTTATTTACAGTAATTATACCTGTATAAGTTGTAAAACTATTTTGCTTAGGGATGCAAAACAACCAAATTACACCAGTTCAACTCATTAAAACTACAAACTACATCATAAACATCTCAGACCAACAATACTCCAATATTTCAAGTAGAATATGCAGCTAGCATAGGGTTTAACGGTTTTCAACAAGGGTTTCGTTTGATAATTATCGGTCTTCCCTGGGTTTAGCTTTAAAACATATATATATATATATATATATATAAAGCTTCAGTTTCAAGTGGGCAACAAGTTAATTTTTGTTTTATTTTCATTTGTTTTCAAAAGATTCGTGTACATTTTTTCTTACAAAAGAAAATAAAAATTTGTTTTCTATTTTACATAAATAGAAAACAAAAGACTGACTACATTATGAACCGACACCTTAGTTTTTCTGTTGAGGATGTCTCCCTACTAAACTCTTGCTCTCCATGCTGCTGCTGGAGATCATGCAGAGGGAGGAGTGGTTGGTTATGTAGAAAAGCTGCTGCTTAGAGCTCTGGTCATTCTCAAATCTCCCACATGACAGTACTGGCCACTAAATTTGGATCTCATCTTGGAGTAGGATCTCATATACATCTGTCCTCAGATTTAGTTCCTTACCCTGCATTACTTCTTGAAGATCTGATAGCTCCTTTGCACTAAGGACACCGTGTAATTTGAGAAAACCATCAAGCCATAGCTTTTTCGACCTGGGACAAATTGAATATAATAATAAATAAACTTAACTTGGATGTAATTAAGCAAATATAGAAAGCATTCCTCATCAAGAGAGTACAATCATTACCATGGGCATGCATGGATAGCTCGGAAGAAAATTCTTCTAGCTGCAGAAGGGTTGCATTCCACATTAATCTCATACGCAATGTAGCAACGCCAAAGCAGTACTGAGTTACACAACTTCTCATTTCCCAATGCCCTTTCAAACAGTCCACGTATTCTATGCTGTGAACCTCCTCTACTCATCTCATATGATAATGCAAAGAGCCAGACAATCACAGATGGATTCCTGAGAAGGTATATTATAATTTAGTGTAGAAAATCAATGTATAAAGAGAACAATACAGAGAGAATAAATGTATTTGATGATCTTATTATTGATTGATATATTGATTGATATATACTGTCTATTACAAATGGTTCCTTATATAGATGTAGGTGTAGTGGGTTAGGTTTAGTGGAGTAGGTGAGGTGGTAGTGGTGGTAGGTTTATTGATAAATTTTAACATTTAATAATAGTCATAAACCAAATAGTCGACAGGGAAGGAAATTTAAAATAACTTCAAGATGCAAGATGTGAAAGAATCGGTAAAGCAGCATCCAATTTATAGAGAGATGACAGAGAACTTGGTCAATGATTGTAAAGCAATTATTTCATTTTCATCAAAAAAATATTGGATAGTAAATGAAATGCTTTACAATTTCTGACTTTAAAACATTAATTGTGTTGGAGACTAGATCAAGGAGTCCATCATAAGCCTGAATTCCCCAACCCAGATATGCTATTTCCACTTAAAATAAGCAAATCCCTGGAAGCATACCTCCACAACATTTACTTCTAATGTAATTGAAAATCCTATATACAGTTCAACATAAATAGTTACTCCCCAAAAATTGATCTAAACTATTGCAGTCATTCACTATTATTTTTTCATTCAGTAGTTAATTAATTTAATTCTATGATTCATTAAAGCCACTGAGACAAAAGATAAAGATCGTCCTCACGACAGTGTCATCAAAGATTTCACAAGAGTTAATTGAGTGTATTTTATGATATTGGATACCAAGGAACAAGATATCTTCTTACTTTTGACAGTAGGTATCAAACATCCACCGCAGTTTATTTGACGCAGTATGAAGGTGGCTGATTTCAACTAAAGCATCATAAAGTTCCGGACTGTAAGGGTATATTTGCAAGCCTTGTACAACAGACTCCCATACTTCTGATAGTCTCAATTCTACATGATGTCGCCGAAGCATCCTCACGTAATAGTTGAACAAAAATTCAAGTTGATAGCTTTGGCTTCTTCTTTCTGCAGTTGAATATATTGCATTATTCACAATCAAGAACCACTTTACATCTCCGTTTGTTTGAACCAAACTTTGGTAAGTTATTTTACGAATGAGTGTTCAGGATGGTACTTAGTGTTGTCGCGTGTGGAGGTCATGTGAGTTGGGTTGGGCGGCTGAGGGATTCATATTGGGGTGTTCAATAAGTGTGGTATGGAGTGTGTTTCATATCAAATGTCAGGCTAGTACAAATTTCAGCCACAAGTTCAACTATTTTTGAAAAAATATTTACATTTCCAACCAGACACCGAAAAAAAGATAAAAAGTACAAAAAAGTCTTGTACAACGTTTGACATGGAAAATATTTTTAAAAGGTAAAATCTTTTACGGTGAACATTGAAATTACAGAAAATAAAGGGGGGAAAAGTTTTCAAAAAAAAATCTTGTAAAAAGTTTTACATGGTAAAAATATTTTATGGCGAAACAAATGGAGTCCAGTGAAATTATAGAAGATAAAAGGGAGGGGGGAATCATTGACAGAAAGTCTTGATTACCAGGAAGCACCATGGAGAAAGCCTGCTTTAGAACGTCAATACCAGCAACACATCCAGCAGTCAACTCCTCAAATAAAGCGGCTGAACAAATGAGAGCAATAGAATGATCATCTATTACGCCACGTGCCCATGTTGATCTTTGAATTCTAATCCGTTCCTTAAACCCTTGGCGAGCTCTCAGCTGTTGCAGATTTGATGGTTGACATTTAAATGCAGTGTACTTTACCCCACTCCCAAAACAACAGAGAATGTGTATTGCACGCAATAACGACTCTGAAACACTTCCGGAACTATTATCCATTTCCATTTCAGCATACCAGAAATACAAAAGAGATGTGTTTGACCGAAGATCCTGCTAAATCCAATCAAACAAATTAATTATCATTTCACTTGGCAGAAGCACTACGGGCTAGAAGACCAAGACAGTGACATTTAAGTATAAAAGATTTACTGGTATGAACTATCATTATAACAAGAATGGATGAACTAAAATTCAAAATGTTCAATCATACTCTTTGATAGTCCAAGTCCCTAGAAAAAAATTGAGGGATAGGAAACTCCTTGCAGATCAGCAAGGAAGGTTACCAACAAATCATGTCTACGTGAGGAACTAAGGGTAGTGCAAAAAGACAATGAACCACAATTTAAGACAAGAAACCTACATACTTGGAAAGTATCGGACACCTATCCCATAGCATTCGGGTGTCCAACATGGGTATTTGATTTATTTTGATAAGTCCATGTAATATAGACAACAATTGATATTATTAGCCAATCAGCTTATTTCTGCAATCGGATAAATTTGGAATATAACTCCATGAAGGCTTACCCACTCGGCAATTGGCAATTGGTTTTATGAGCCCATGGCCCATTTAGCTCTACAATGATCATTATGATCCAATTTAGTTGGGCTCAATCCCCTCTGAAAGCTCAAGATCTTTTATGGCTCATTTCGGCTATTTAGCTCTAAGTGGCTCATTTCGGCTATTTAGCCCAATGGGTTCAGCAAATTAGATATCCAGATTTATTATAGCCCATAAATTGCACAAAGCCCAAGATCCTTAAAAGTGGTTCAACACCAACATTTGGCCCATTAGAGGTTATAATCTCTTAGCCCAACCCATTCCTGGGGCATTCACTCAAAAATCAACAACAAATGGCCCATGGTAATGATGCATGGGCTCAACAATCTTGAGAAATCCCAAGGCCCTCAATGGCTTGGCACATCATATTTGGTTCAAACAAGGCCCAACTGAACAGCACCAACATAAACTATTATTTTTCTGCTCAAAATTCTAGCTTGTTAGCATTTCCTAAGCCAATTTAGCGATGGGCAACCTTCCAGAGCTAGGACCTCTTTTGGACTGGCCGAGCACGCCTAAGCCTTGGGAGATCAATCTGGCAGCCATCCAGCCCAGAATGGCGTGCATTTTTTGTCTGTTTTTCAGTCCTCAACAAGGGCTCAGATCACAAGCTAATGATCTACAGAGAGTTTGACAAATGATCAGCTCACTCAATAGGTAATTCCTTGAGATAAGTGGTCTGGAAGACAAGAATGAGCAGGGACTTTGGCATGTATCCTTCAGCAGCAGAGTACAAAGGAAATGAGTTGGTTCTCATTTGAACCTTGTAAGATCATTTAGATATGTACCATATACATGTCTGGCACCCTCCATGTCATCTTCCTATTGATTGATGTCATTTCAGTCCTTTCCATCCTTTTCAGCAAGTAATAACTGGTGCGGTGGCCAGTGAACCTCAACCAAACACCTCTGGTTTTGCTCCGTTGAACTTTCCGATGCGGTCGGTGGAGCAAAAAATGGCGGTGCAAACTGATATTGAGGCCAATCAGTATACTTTGAAGTCATGCGTGGAAACCATGACTGCGGTCACAAACTTGTCGCACCGGCTGCAGAGCAGGACAAATGAGGTGCAACAGTTAAACTCCCAGCTGGCTCTGCTCCAACGCATGTATAAGGATGCGCGAGTAGAGATAAGTGTGCTAAAGACAGAAAACAAGGAGCTGAAGCGGAAGGCCACCGTGATGTTCCGATTTGGAGGTCCACCATATGCTGTAGTGAAGGAGCAGGGGGAAGTAAATGTGCTTGGTGGATTAGGAAGCACAGAAGCAGCACTGTCAAGGACCGCCCAGGACGGAGGCAAAAAAAAGAGACCGGCGGCAGAGTAGGTCGGTGGGTGGCCGTCTGCAGAAAAGAAAACAAAACTTCCTGGACGTGTGCGGCTTCAAAAAAAAAAAAAAAAATTTTTTTTTTTTTTTTTTTTTTTTTTTTTTTTTTTTTTTGGTGTAAAATGTGGATCGGGGTTGATCCCGGAGATGAATAAAATATGGTTTGGTGTGCAAAGCGATATGGTAGGAAAGGAATTTGAAAAAGAGTAAAAAGAATGTGAAAGAAAAAATAAAGAAAGAAATAAGAAGAATATATTTGAAATCAAAATGAAAGATGGGAAAAATAAGAAAAGTGGTTCACGTGGTTGCTTGTCCCACGGGTTTGTGAAAAATCGGCAATGGTTTTGTTTTGTTTTGTTTTTTTTGTTTTGTTTTATTTTAAGGGTCAAAAGTGGTGGTGAAAGGCACAGGAAAATTGATTAAAAAATAAATAAAGAAGTGGGAAGGGGTTTAAAAGTGGACACTGTCAATGGAAAACAGGAGTGTATGGATTATTTGAGATAATAATAATAAAAATAAAAAAAAAATAAAAAGTGAGTGGAGAATTATTTTATGGGAGAGGGGAAGAAAGTGGGAATAAAGAGATACACACATGGGTTAGACAGATAAAGAGAATAAAAAAAATGAAAAGAAATAGATAAAGTGGAGAGTGAGCTGGCTGTTCAGTTTTGTAAAAGGTCTGTTTGGCTCTTGAATTGGCTTTTGTTTCTCACCGACGCTCTGCTCTGAAGTTTCAGTTGGCTTGAAGTTGCAAAAAATGGCTTGTATGAAGTTGGGTTCCAAAACTGATGCATTCCAGAGGAAAGGAATAACTGAATTTGCTTTGTGTAATTGTGTGAGAGTAGCAACTGGCTTTTGTTTTCGCTGTTGTCAATGGAGATGTTGAATTCCTTGGCCTCTCGGTCTCTGATGCTTCAGTCCACGATGAATCTCTTGCCCTTTGAGAGCAGAGGACTTGAGATTTTGGGGAAAATGTCAATGGAAAACAGGAGTGTATGGATTATTTGAGATAATAATAATAAAAATAAAAATAAAAAATAAAAAGTTAGTGGAGAATTATTGTATGGGAGAGGGGAAGAAAGTGGGAATAAAGAGATACACACATGGGTTAGACAGATAAAGAGAATAAAAAAAAATGAAAAGAAATAGATAAAGTGGAGAGTGAGCTGGCTGTTCAGTTTTGTAAAAGGTCTGTTTGTCAATGGAGATGTTGAATTCCTTGGCCTCTCGGTCTCTTCCTTGCTCACACCTAATCGAATTCGGCCTTTCTTTTCCCCAAAATCTCAAGTCCTCTGCTCTCAAAAAAATAAGAGATCGAGTTCCAAAATTGAGAAAACCAGGTTGTCCAAAGATTTGAATAGACAACTCTGATTGATGGATTCATCATCCGGAGCCGGACCATCCGACCCGAGGGGAGCGAAGGTTCATCGTCTGCAACCGTAGGAGGAGGACGATCGGAGGAAGGTGCGTCAACGGCGGCGGCGCAGCCTCCCCCGCCGAGTCGGTACGAGTCACAAAAGCGACGCGACTGGAACACGTTCTTGCAGTACCTGTACCAGTTCGGGAAGACGAAGGTGGGTTTAATCGAGATCTGGCCAATAATGAAAGTACCTTCAGCAGTAACAATGGTTTCTTTGGAGGGTACAAGCCCGCAGAAGATGGAGATGCAGGGAAGCCCTTTGAAAGACGTGGATACAATGGACCGCCTCGTGAGGCTCGTGGTGGTTTCCGTGATGGTCGTCGTGGTGGTTTCAACAATAGAGAAGAAGTAGAAGGTGAACGTACTCGGAGAGTATTTAAGCGCCGTAGTGGCACCGGACGTGGGAATGAATTCAAACGTGATGGTGGTGGTAGCAGGAATTGGGGAACTCCCACTGATGAAATTGCTCCGGAGAGTGAAGAACCTTCCAAAGAAAATGAGAAGAATGTGGATGCTGAAAAGCAATTGGGACAGGAAGATACTGCAGATGCCGAGGTTTGAATTGGTTGAGATCCGGCGGGCGGTCAAGGCAAGGTTGCCGCCCGCCGGAAGGCGAAAAACACCAAGATCTTTAACCTATTGCTCTGATACCATGTAAAAATTTATGTATTATTGATTGATATATTGATATTGTGTATTTATTACAAATGGTGAATGACTCATTATATAGGAGAGGGTGAGTGTAATAGGTGAGGAGTAGGTGAGGAGTAGGTGGTGGTAGGTGATGGTAAATTGGTGGTAGCCTAGGTGATGGTAAATTTTAACAAAAATAATAACAAATTATGTATATATGTTGGTTATTTTGGTATTAAACGCTATTAAAAGTTGTAATATGTCATTCATTCTCACTAAAAACATGAAGAAAAAAATAGTCGAAAATATGTCGGACACAATAATTTAAAAAATTACATAAATCATAAAAAGTGAATTGAATCGTAAATCGATTGTGAATCGTGCGATTCACTAGAGATTTACTTCCAAAATAGATTCACCCATAGATTCGTATCAATTTTGCAAAAAATTTGATTTGAATCGTGAATCAAATCGCGAATCGCGAATCGTAAGATTTTGATAAAAGAGAGATTCACCTATAGATTCGTATCGATTTTACAAAAATTGTGAATCGAATCGTGAATCGAATCGCGAATCGAATCGCGAATCGTAAGATTCTGATAACAGAGGATGCAACCAATTCAAGAAAACCACCCCAGAAAGGGGAACCAATAAAACAAGGGCTAACCAATCATCTCATCTAAAAAATCTAAAAACACAAATAAATCCAAATCTACCCTACCCTCCAACCAACTATACAAAACTAGAATAAGACGACTTTGTAACTAAGAAACACTATAAGAAACCTGTAAGAAGGTACGTCTATTCCGCTCCAACCAAAGCAACCACATCAAACAGAACAGAGCCAATAACCAAGCTCGTCGCCGCCGCCGCCGGCGGCGGCAAGGAAGTTAAGGAGGTGGGGTCTGTGGCCTATCAGTCTAGCCCACAAGCAGGTGGCTTTTCAAGCCCAACAGGGGATGGTGATTTGGGCCTTTCTGGGCAGCCCAATAGTCTTGCAGATTCTTTTGTGGGTCGGTTTGAGAGTTGGATGGGTTGTAGGGCTTCATGTAACCTACATCCAGGTGGGTCAGATCGAGTGGCTTCGATAGGGGTAGGTGCTCACCGGTGAGGATTTGAGTTGCCGTCCGAACTGGAGTTGGTGGTCCACTGTGGCCTATCTGCTGATGAACAAGGGTCATGACTGGTAGTGGCGTCGGAGAGTGGCAGTTCACAGTCGGCGGCCTCAGAGTCGGATGAGCTGGAGATAGAGATGCCTTGCGATGCGCCATCTGCTGATGAACAAGGGTCGCGACTGGTAGTGGAGTCGGAAAGAGGTACTTCACAGTCGGCGACCTCAGAGTCGGTTGAGCGACAGTCCTAGTTGGTGATAGAGATGCCTCGCGATGCGTCTTGGGATGACCGAGGTGGGATGGGGCACGATAGTGATGGACAGTCACAGGTCTTGGAGTTGTAGCCCTTAGCAGTGCGGGATAGTGAATTGGTCACTTGTTTGAAACAAAAACAGAGGTTTGAGGATACAGGTGGATTATCGGGGGAGGAAATCCCTTCGGCTGAGGCTGTGTCCCAGTGGGTGTTGGATCGGATTAGTGAAGTTAGTCGTTGCTTGGGCCTGTCATTTGAAGGTCATGAAGAAGAGACAATGTGACTTTTTGCGGCAGTGGAGGCTTCATGGCGGTAAAGGACTCCTAGTTCAGGGGTGTCTCGGTCATTGGTGACCCCTTCTAAAGGTAATCGGGAGCTCAACAATTTGAAATGTACTGTGAATTATGATCATGGTGTGAGGAATGTAGGACGGGGTGAAAGGAGAGATCAGAGGGGCCCATTGTTGTTGAAATAAAGTTAAAAATTGTATCGTGGAATGTGCGGGGTTTGAACGATAAGGACAAGAGGGTGGCGATGAAGGCAGTGTTGTGGAGTACCAAAGCGGATGTTGTATGTTTACAAGAGATGAAGATGGAGGTGGTGGGGGTGGAGTTGATTCGCGAGGTGTGGGGGGGGAGGTTTGTGGAGTGGACCTTTTTGCCCTCTTTAGGCACGGCAGGTGGGGTTCTTCTCTGTTGGGATAAGAGGGTAGTGGTGAGGGAGGAGGAGGAGGTAGGAGGATTTTCTGTATCATGTTTGTTCCGTTGAGTGGAGGATAATTTCCGGTGGGGTTTTACTGGGGTTTATGGACCTGTGCAGAATTCAGAGTGGGGTCTGTTCTTGGAGGAGATGGAGAACATAGCCTTTCGCACATTTTTAATGAGATTACAATCAAAGGAAACTTTGAAGCATCAAACACAGATGAGTGCTGCAATTGCTTTAGATAATAAATATGATTTAAAAAAAAAAAAAAAAATCCAGGGTGCCATTTATGAAAAAGAAACAAAATAAACTTTAAAGCTAGAAACAAGTGAAAGAGAAAGACCACATTTTGCACGAGCAGGCATCCACTGATCAGAATCTCTTGATAATTCTTCTTCTGACCATCTAGTCCACGTTGCAGTGTCTTTGACCTCACTATTAGGATCAGTATCAGCATCAATGCCCAACATTTTCAGCAAAGCCTCAGTATCATCTTGCTGCTCAACAGTTCTTGTCTCAAGTTCCTCATCAAACTCCTCCAGTGCCACATCATCATCCACAATATTTTCTGGATTAGCACTTACATCTTTACTTTTAGATAATGGTTGTGACCAACCCGTCCAACCACCATCTTCATTTTCATTCGAGGACTCCTCGCTGATAACCTTTTGCCTTTCTTCCTCTTCTTTACCCAGCCATGTTGTCCAGCCAAGAGCCCCATCTTCCCCAATTCTTGCACCATTACTGTTCCAGAAGTGCTCAAACAGTCTATGTTTGCTTTGCCCAGTGAGAAGTAAAGAAGGACAGAACAAACTATATTCTAGCTCAGCCTGAAACAAAGCAGTAGCCAACTCTTGGTAGCCAGCCTGCCACTCAAATCTGCAAAGGCTAAGAAATATATCAACCAGACCAAGTTCTTGTTGGACAATAGCAGGATCCAAAGAAGGTGCATTAGCAGTTTGGTGAACCTGCATCCAACACACAAGTGAAGTCATACTCGAAATATAACGGGTTAGCTAATAAAAGAAATTGGTCAAACTCTCAAAGTCTATCAAAATAAAGTTTAAAAAAAAATAATCCAAATTAACATACAAACTCAGTTAAATCTCACACCACTCGGTTCAATTTCAAAAACAATAAACTATAATTAGTAGGGTACAAACAGTTCATCGCTCATATAATAGGTTAATTGATTCGCATCCAATATTCAGGATAACTAAGGAATCTGCAGGCACTGATTTGTAGATCAAGTCCCCTTTGCTTTGGAGATTCTTCTTTCTTTTTCTTTTTTTAAATAATTCACCAACTTGAAGCGCACTTAGTAGAAAAGACAGCCAACAAATCAAAGCCAAACACTCATCAACAACATCACAACACAAGTCAATAGTAGCAGGCTAATCTAATCTATGCACAGCTTTAAGAAACTAAGATTTATTTTATTTTTTATTTTTTATTTTTTTTGAGATTGGAAACAAAGCAATATAATAATATTAAAATAGATTTTCAAAAGGAAGAATTACAAAAACCCCACCCAGCTGAAATGCCTCCAAATGCCATCGTGCACTACCCTATCAAACATCCTACTCAAAGCTGCCTCAACCAAAATAAATAAGAGGGGCAAGAAGAAACCCCTAGCCAGAACCCCCCCCAAAAAAAAAAAAAAAAAAAAAACCTACTTGGAGAACCACTAACCAACACTGCAAGCCACAACATTGAAATATATAACTTTATCCACTTCCTCCATCAATTAAAAGCTTATAGGTTGCTAGGTTTCTTAATTCTTCTAGGAATATGACCTCGAACTACTTAGAATATTCTACAGACCTAATGTTTACCTAGTAAAAGGACCCAAAAGTATAACCCATAATATGACCCATAGACCCAAACTACTACCCATTTCTAGAGAATTTAGAAATCTAAGAGGCATAGACACGGACACGTGACAAGGAATTTCATAATATTGTAAGAAAACTTGCATGAACTGCAATGTTCTACTACATCTGGCAAGAGGGGAATAACAGAGTTTCAAGAGGTCGTTATTAGACCCTTGTTGAATGAGACTAAACATGATGTGAGAGAAGAAGCTACTCATTTTAGATTTGTCAAAGCCATTGACCTCAACCTCTCAATTTGTAAAAATTGGTCAAGCCCAAATTATATTTTTGAATCACCCTGTGTTTATAGGTTTATTTCTCTGTAGTCGTAGAGATTGCATGTACTTTCCTTGCTTTCGTTAATACATACCAAAAAAAGATTGGTCTATGTGACCAAAGTGACAAGGATCTTGATATTTCTGTTTCTGGAAAAGCACGAATGGATGAATATTCTAGCTGGTTAGATATGATCATTCAAATTATACAAATAATTGTAATGGGCTTCATTAATAAAATTCTTTGTTGCTGACATAAAAAATAAAAATGCTACTGGATCCAAGCCCCCTAATATATGCACAAAGGATTGCATCAATGTATAGCAGAGAAACACAGCTATGCAAAAGCATATACAAAATATTTTTAACTGAATTAAAACCTCTAACATATATACAGAGGATTGCATCAATGTATAACAAAGAACATAAAAAGAAAAGCAACTACGCAAAAGCATTTTCTACCAAGGTGATGAAGGTACAGAAACTAAAAGGTTTTTCTGCCTGGTGACATCCCCGGCATATACATATAATTTCACAGGAAGTATGGAAGTCCTCTAGTGGAAGGTAAATAAGACAAGATATTGGGTTTTCTTAGAAGAAAAACAACAAATAGTAATCCTCTGCTTGAATCATAAAAAGAATGTAGCGAAAGAAAGAACGCTTAAATATGGGATTATCTATACTTTTTTTAGATGTGCCAAAACCCAACCATTGTAACATCAATTGACCAGCCTTCTAATCAGTGCCTCACTAGTGCTCAGTGTCAGTGTCAATAAATACAAAACACAAACTTGGAATTTTATATATGAATGTGTACTAGGCAATTTACTAAGAAATGCTGACAGCAATGTACATAGAGTTGTGTGTGTGCACGTGCATGTTTATGTTCTTTTTGTTATTTCAATTGCATAAGATGATAAAAGATCAGAAAGATTATGAGTAGTTCTTACAAAACCAAACCATTCAACAACATTAACAAGAGCAAAAGAACAATTCAATTGAACTTTCCAAAACAGAAACTTCAAATGAAATTAATGGTAATGACATTCAATATATCATTTGCATCAGGAGTATGGGAAGGTAAGCACAGAACACATTAAATTAAGAACCTGCCTATACTGCCTGCTGCATGCAGCAGACAAAGCTTGATGCGCATTTGCATAAAATTTTCTCATTTCAGAAACTTTGAACATAGAGAACTCCCCTTGAGCAACGTGCAAGAACTCTTTCCATAGCTTGTAACTCCCAGAATGCTGCATGAGAATCTTCTCCCATCTACCAATAAAGACATCAGCGCTGTCTCTTCTTTGGTAAGCATTCAAAAGACAAAGCAGCAGTTCTTCATTGTACGGATTCAGCTCAGTCGCTTTCTCTAGTATACTAATCTTCTTTTCAAGAGTCTGTAAACGAGCTCCTTTCTGTGGTTGCATGCTTGCAACCTTGTCTTGGAACTCTGCAAAAGCTATCCAAACTTTCTCATCTTGGGGATGCTCCCTTGACATCTTGTTGAACTCCCTTGTTTTGTTTAACACCTCATCTTCCCAAGACTCTTCAACAACTGAAGTTCTTGAAAGTGAGCCACCATCAACTCCCTTGCCAGAAGTTTGATCGTCCAATAAAGGAATGAAATCAGAAGGAACAGTTATTGAGGACTTTTTAGGCACGATAACTCGAATTCGCTTCAAGTTCTTATGGCGTTCAACTGCAGAGTACTTTGCAGACCAGTAGCGACCACTGGATTTAAGTTTAGTGTCCAATGCATCAATATCAGCATCTCCATCAAAGACCAAACTCCTCCGATTCCACCGATATAAAGCTTCGGAATTGAGCTTGTATGACTTTAAAGAATTTTGAAGTTTGTAGCGAGCAACATCCATTCTGCAGCACAGTCAGCCAGATTTAAATTTATATATATATATATATATATTAAAAAGGGCATGTTTACAATGACCTCCCCTAACAATTGCCAATATTACAACTGACTGATCCCATCAAAATTAAATGTCCCAACACTGAGAATTAATATAAAATTATGCGCCAATCACCATTTGGTTACTAGATGTAAGAACCTCTTCGTTTGGTAAATTAGCAATGTGAAAAAAAAACTATTCAGCAGCTTTCGTTGTCACCAAATTTCATTAATTTTGGTGTGAGAAATAGAACATGAGTTATAAGAGACTACTCTGCCTCTTTCATTGCTCTCCCTTCCACACCATTTCTCACCTTCTCAAATAGTAATTCAAACAATAAATAAAAGACATCTCTCTACTACATTTCATTTCTTTTCTTCTCTCACCAAAGCCCTCAATGGGTGGTTAGAAATTTAAAATAAACACCGTTAACACTATGTTTGGTAACCTAGGGTTTTCCATTTCTTCCAGAAGAACCAAAGCACAACAAATTGATGCATAAATACATGTGTGTGTATATGTATATATAGACATCCATGTACAAAAGAAAAAAATTAGTGAACAAAGAAGGGGAAGGGGAGGGTAAAGGTTCTGAAATACGTGAAATGTATTAATCATATCATGAATTGGACAAGTAGAAATGAAGAAGTAAAGAAGAAAGTAGGTACCTGTAAAGGCATCCAAAGGCCAGATTGTCGCGATCGCCGCGGGATTCGAAGTAATAGTCTTTGGAGGTGGGTTTTGCGCCAGAAGAAGAGGAAGAAGGAACCCAAGATGAAACGTTTGGCTTCCTGGAGGTGGCATCGTAATCGCGTGAGGTTTTGGACCTGGCCGCATCACCCGAAGAAGAAGATATCTTCCTCTTTCTCTTCTTCTTCTTCTTCGTCTGTTTGTCGGTGTCCCTATTTTCATTGGAATCTAAATCAGAAGAAGAGGACTCCAGTAATTGGTATGTTGGAGGAGGCCTAGTAGTATCATTGATTTCTGTTTCTTTTTCTTTATCTTCTGATTCTGATTCTGATTCTGAATCTGAATCTGAATCTAAAAGGCGGAGGGGGTAGTGTGGAGAAGAAGCGGCGACACTGATGGCGGAGAGGTCAGCGGCGAAGCTACGGTTGCTCAGCCAATGAGCAGGAGGATGGGAGCTGTTGTTGATGTCGGCGTCGGAAGCGGGTGGGAGGACGACTGGAAACAGTGAGTCTGTAGTAGTAGTAGTAACGCCGGTGGGTTCTTCCGCTTCCTTAGCGATTTCTGTCCGTGCTGGCTCCATTGCAATCTCTCTCTGCGACACAGAATTGCGTTTTCGAAGAACAGTACTGCTCCGGTTCGTCAAAGAAAAAAAATACACGCACCACGCTTAAATTGGTTTATATTAGGGTGTCTGCCGTTCGGTTTGGGACGGTTTATGATTTGATTTAGACCTATTCGCATGTATGTGATTTGAGGAAAAATTAACTTGTAACTGTCTGTAATGTGATTTGTAATTTTTGCGGATAGGATTTGTGATTGTATGGGTGGTAGCAGGTAATTTACGGATTGAATTTTTTTTTAAATTTTTTTTGTTAAATCCTTTTTTTTTTCTCCATTTTTTATTAATATTTCTTTTAGACTTTTTTCCTTTCATTTTCTAAAATGTTCTAACATTAATAACTAATGAATTAAAATTTATAAAAAAAAAACACAACAAAATCAATTCGTAACCTAAACAAATCATTCAAAATCTACTTTCATCATTAACTTGCATTCATCCTACATCTATCATTCCTAATCCAAATTAAAAAAATCCTACATTCATCATTCCTAATCCAAATACAAAAAAAAAAAGAGTAATTCTTCATTAACTTAACATTCATCCAAAATGCAAAAAAATAAAATAAAAATTAAATTAAAAATAAAAATTCATTAACTTACATTCATCCAAAACCAAAATGTAATTAAAAAAAAAAATTTGTTGCCAAACTTCATTCAATTCAAGCCCATGAAATAAAATAAAAATATTTCTAAGATATCAAATTTCATCGTGAATCATCCAATCCAACTTTCATGAACCCTACACAAAAAAATATAAACTTTAATATTCAATCTTCATAATTCTTTTGAGAAAAAAAGTGTATAAAAAAGTGTATATCATATTCATTACCCACCTTGGTAATCACTTGTAAAACCAGCCACTAGTAAGTGGATAATATACAAGGAGGAGCCACATTTAACTAGCTTCAACAAATTAACATAAATATTATGGCCTTGACAATGCAAATATTTTTCTTCACAACTCTTCTTTTTAAATATAAAAATGACCCACTATTGAACAACAAGAGTTTTCATCTACTTCATTTACTAATTTCTGATAATTTCAAAACTATAGAACAAGGAGTTTTCATCTACTTCATTTACTAATTTTTGATAATTTCAAAACTATAGCTAGCAAACTAATGTCACAGACCTCAAAAAAAAGAAAAAAAAGAAAAAGAAAAAGAAAAAGAAAAAGGAAGAAGGAACTCCACATGTTAAACTAAGCACATGGGGGGTGGAAAACATAACTTGATTTTGAACGGTTAGATTTTAAAAAAAAAAAAAAGTTTTATGCGAGCGGTTTGGGCGGGTGAGGGTTAAACCTGCAACCTGCCCGCAACCCAAAAATTAAATAAAATCTAAATCACACCCTACCCTAATGTGTTTGTGAAACCGCCCATACATGCGCAGTTCAGATCGGGTAGGGCGGTTTGGACGGGTCAGATGACCCTATGCCCAGCCCTAGTTTATATATGGCTTTTTTTTATTGATAAATCTGATGTAAAGGTGTTCTAACTCAATAAGTCCACCAATAAAGCTTATTAGGGGTGAGTAGCGGATATATCGATCTGTCAAAACCGACCAAATCGAATTGATCCGTTGCATTTTGGACGGATGTGTGATGACGAGCGGACGGTTGCCGATTGATTTTCTCTAATCCGCCAATTTGGCGGACGGATGGCAGATTTGAGGTTCATTTGGCCGCAACCAAACCTCCAAACCGCGAACACTTTTAGTAATTTATAAGACTTTGTATTTTTAATTTGTTTAAATATTTTGTTTGTATTTTCAATTGAAAAAAAAAATTAAATATTCTGTTGAAAAAAAGTTTTCAACTTGAATATATTTTTTAAATTGAAAAAAATAAACGTATTATTTATCTATATTTTTTGGTTTTTAAATCTAACTCTAAAAGTAATAAATAGAAAATATGATATATGCTGGTTGGTTTTTGTTTTCAAAAACATATATAAATGTAACAATACAGAGACATACAATCTCTACTATTACTCTGTTCATGATTTTGGTGGTTTGAATTATTTTTATGTTTTAAGAACCACAGATTGTAATATTTTATGTGGGTGAGGCATGCTATGATTGTAATATGTGGATGAGGCATGCTATGATTGTAATATGTGGATGAGACATGAAATGACTGTGATATTCTAAAGTTTCAAACTTTCTTTCTTTGGATAAGGCATGCGGTAATTGTAATACTTCTTTAAGTCATTGACTGTAATATATATATATATATATTTTTTGGAGGAAGTGCACAAGTTGAACTATGTTGAAAATTTATAAAATTTCAAACTGCCAAACCGATTCGCATCCATTCGCCAAACCGCCAATCCGCTCAATCCATATCCGCCGGATTGGCAGACGGATGTGGATTGATTTTCTCCAATCCGCCAATCTGGCGGACGGATGGCGGATTGAAAATTCCGTGGCCACAACCGACCCGCGCCCACCCCTAAAGATTATAACCTAATTAGTCCTATATATTTATATTTTTATTTTATGAAATCCTTTTTTTATAATTTATATTATTTGCTGAACTATTATACCCTTTTGTCTATTGTTGATATATATTATATAGAAAAAGAAAAACACATTTCATACATATATATATATATATATATATTGTTGGACAATCTTCACTGTAATTAATTAATTTAGTTTGTGTACTTAACAACAAACAGAATATAAAAGAAATAAAGGAAATAAGAGAATTTGTTTGATTACAAAAATCAAACTTGAAATAAAAATAAATAAATAAAAACAGATTTTATTTTGTTACAAAAACAAAATTAAAATCTGATTTAAATAAATAACAAAACACTAAAAATAAATTAAATAACTTACTTGATTTAATTTGTTCGAATTATAATCTGATCAAGTCCAGTGTTTGACACTATGTCTTTAAGACAGATTCATCCTCTCCACGGTACTTTCAGAATTTGGACGTCTATCTCCCAGGATGAAATGATCTACTACAAACAATAGCGGCACTACAAATTGTTTGCCTTACGAACACACTAAGTGTTTACACTCTGTCATGGTTTCCACACATGACTTCAA